TGGCCGCCAGAACTGTCAGGAAACACCCCCTTAAAATTTCAGCTTTCTAGCTTTCCTAGCTCCTGAATTAGCAATTTACTGAAAAAAAAACCTTCACGGGCCTGTACTTGGGTACCACACGTACCCAATGTCTTGGTTTGAGCTTTTTGTGACTTACGCGGACGGAGACATCCTCTTAAACTTACAGTCTTCTAGCTTTTCAAGTTCTCGAGTCAGCAACCTACCCGAGAGAAAATTTGGTGAACCGATGTGGGTACCACGCATGCCCGAGGGCTGGATTTAAGCTAGATGAGACTTAGGTGGACGGGGAATATTCTCTTAAAATTACAGTCCTTTAAATTTTCAAATTCCCGAGTTATCAACTTACTGGAGAAAAACTTTCACGGGCCCGTACGTGGGCACCACGCTTACTCGAGGATTGGGTTTAGGCTTGTTAACACCCACTTGGACAGGGGACATCACCTGAAGATTTCAGCTTTCTAGCTTCTCAGATCCCCGAGTTGTCAACTTACCCGAAAAAAGTTTCACTGGCCCGTACGCTGGTAACTGGGCTGAGATTGAGCTCATTAACACCTACTAGGACGGGGAACATCCCCTTAAAATTTCAGCTCCCAAGCATTTCTGGTTTCCAAGTTAGCAGCTTACCCGTAAAAGCTTTGGCGGACTTTTATGTGGGTACCAAGCGGGTAATAACGCCCGTTTTGAGAATTGGGGCCCATACGCGCATGTAGATTAGATTCTCAGTGTTTCAGCCCTGTAGCTTTTGTAAGTCTTGAGATGAATAACCGTGACAGACGCACACACGGGCACGCAGACATACAAACAACCTCTCTCAATATGCGTTTTCTGCATTGCAAAGCTGCAAAAAACGCATTAAAAAAAACGATAGAACGAGTTTCGCGGCACTCGCCCAAGTCCGAAAACGAGTGCAATCTACATGGCCCAGCTAAGCCAATTTTAAGTCCTTGCCCATAAACATAGTTCTACAAATTATCTGATAGTTTGGCAGTTTTTGGCAGAAAATATCCACTTACAAAGCAGCAACAAATTTGCAATTTTTTCACCTGCAAATGCAGCACAGAAAATGATACAGTAGTAATCAGTAGACGACTTGATTTGCAGGAAAAACAGGAGTCGCGACACAAAGTCAAACGGAGGCAGCACTGAAAACATTAAAAAACGAACACTGCTTTCAGTGTTAAATCAAGCAAAAGCAAACAGAGCTATGAATCCGGCGATGTCCGAAAACCAGCCGGCTAGGTCCAGCGACCTAACATCTCCAGAAGGAGAATCTGATGACAATTTTGATGGTGTTGCTAGCAAGGTGGGCCGCGTCTGCTTTTCAAACTCAAACTTTCCTATTTTAGAACTGCTTGTATAGATTAATTTTTAAAATAGCTTTTTGTTCAGAGGCGGAGACTCACTTGCTTGGGTGACTGCTGGAAAGCCACTCGACGGTTAACAGCGCAACTTAGGGACCGCGACTGGACAATTACCTCTGTACAGGTAATATGTTGGATATCATTTTACTTCTAAAGAATGATTTCAGTGACCCTGATAAAATAGCAAATGGAAGAATTCATCTCCGGCAACTCCACACCGACGACTTTAGTCATCCTCCCAAATTCTGAACCTCTTGACAAACTGTGCTTACTTTTTTATGCGTTTTTATGCGTTTTTTGCATCTATGCAATGCAAAAACGCATATTGTCGAGGGGTTG